TTGACCTTGGCATCAAGTACGACCCCTCCACCGGCATTTACGGCATGGACTTTTACGTCGTGCTTGGCCGCCGTGGCGAACGCGTGGCGCACCGCAGGCGCAAGACGAGCCGTGTGGGGTGCCCCCACCGTGTGAGGAAGGAAGAGGCAATGCATTGGTTTGAGAGGACATACGATGGCATCATCTTCCAGGCCAAGAAGAAGAAGGTGATGACTCGCCGCCGTCGTCGTTAAAAAGGGGTGGAGCGAATGATCCTTTTGTAGGGCCTTTTTTGCTGGGTCACGCCATGTTTTTCGTGATTTTTTATTATTTGTATTGACGACGTTTGTTAGCCTCGGATGTCGCATCCGCCCGTTCTCACCATTGTAGCGAGGACATGCGCCCATGCCGTGGTCGGGACTGCCCACGACTTTTCTTTCTTCCATTGACTTTGTTTGTTTGTTTTTCTCCGCCTTTGCCTGTCTGTCTTCGCGTTTGTTGTGTGGGAAGAATAGTACGCGGTAGGGGTTTCTCATTGCGCACCGATGCCTTTTTGCAACGTCAAGCCCTCCGAAGTGAGCCATTTGCAAAACGTGGCGAAAAAGCAGGGCGCAAACGATGTGGCCACGGCAGATTACACCGTCCTGCTGGTTGAGAATATGATGAAACGGTACGTGGAGGGGCGGTCCTCTGTCTGCGGTTCCACAGGCACCGATAAATCCACGAATTCACTCTCTCCGTCGTGGTTTGACGCGGTGAAGGCGGATGAGGCGCGGATGATGAGGACTTTTCCGTATCCTTCTTTGTTTCTCCATCCGCTTCCATTGGAAATGTCTGAGCATCCTGACACCCCGTCGCCGCTTCTACTGGCAACACAGACAGCAACACCAGTTGGTGACGACAGTAACACTGAGGATGCGCCGAGGCGAGAGTACAGGGAAATGGTTGTTCTTGATGGAGGAGCGTCGGAGATGGTAACGGTGCTGCAGGGCGAGTGTGGCCTTGCTGTTGTCTCACCTCGCTGTCGTTCCACGGGGCCTCGAAGCGTGTACTTGCTGAGCCCTGACGCTACTTCGTGCACTATTGTGGCGTGCCGGGTTGGCCTTCATTCGCATTTGCGCGAGAGGCTTGTGGCGACCACAGGGGAAATGACGGAGTCGGGGGACGGGGCGCTTGCTTGGCGGTGCTGCAAGACATTTACGGCGGCCATGGGACATCTTGACTGCGCACAGGGCGTGGCGGAGGTGCTGTACGAAATGCTCTGGGAGGCCGCGCTGCCCGCGTGGTTCCATGCGGCTCTGCGTGACGGTGACGGGGCGGTGGGTGAGTGTGGTGAGGTGGGCGCGGCGTTGGACCTCCTTGAGCGGTTGCGCCGCATTGCGCAGACAACAACAACAGCAACAACGACAACTGGATCTTCTGATTCTGACACCCCCATGCTGGTCGCGGAGTGGTTCTTGGTGGGGGGTGTACGCAGCCGGGAGAAAACACTACCCGTTCTAACTGCCGTACTCAGTACACTTTTTGTTGCTGAGGAGCAGGACGACGGTGGTGCAAATCTTCCCGGTGGAAAGCGCTGCACTTTGAAGCCGTCGTTCCACTTGTCAGAGGTGCTTGGCGGGAAGGAAAGTGATGGGGCGGATGCAGATTTGGTGCGGATTGAGCACCGTCTCCGCGAGGACGGTGCCTGCTTCTGGAGCCTCAACACTGTGCTGCGGCATTGGGCGATGGGCCGCGCAGGCGAACTGTATTCCTGCCCCGCCAGCTTGGGGCTTCTCGTCGACGTGGGTGGTGGCTGCTGCTGGCCCGCCACTGTGCAGCCTGGCACGCGAAAATACCCGCTTGCGGCGCTCCGTAACGCGTTGATGCAGCCCGGCTACCGCTGGACGTGCCCGCTGGAGCGGGAGGGGACGTTGCGCGTGCGTCGGGGGGTTGCAACAGCGCTGGCGGCGTCGTATTTTGGTCTGCAACCGGTTCCTCCGACGGAGAGCGTGTGCGATGTCTCTCTTGCGGCCTATGTTGCGGCGTTCTTGCGTCGGTGTGAAGAGGGCGGCGAAACGGAGGAGGAGCGTGCGTCAGTCTCCCTGCCAATTCTGGTGCGTCGTGGCGTGTGGGAAAAAATGGAGAACATCCGAATGCTGGATGACTTGCCCGACAACTTCTTTCTGATGGCTTCGACGACACCGCACTGCGAGCCGTCTGACTTTGCTGCACTGGGGCGGCAGAGGCTCGGCTTTATGTCCGAGTTTTGCGTGGACGATGTGTTCGAAAAAGGCACCGTCGGTATACTTGTGTGAGCGCCCATATCATTGTGAACGTTGAATGATATTCGAATACGGTGAGGGTACAGTTGACTGCTTTCTGCACGCGTCATTCTAGGGTTGGAAAGGAAGCAATTTGAATAGGAGGATTTCTCGGGAAGTCCAGGCGCCGTGGCAAAGTCAGCATTGCTTGATCAGGGGAAGAGAGGATACTTTTCCACGCCAACCCCTACTTGGCGGCGCCTTCTGCGGCAGTAAAAGAGCGATAAGGCATTACACGGTAGAAACGGAAGAGACGCGAAATCATCAATGGGTGCGGTCATGAGCTGGTTTGATGGTCTCTTCGCCAAGAAGGATGCGACCATCTTGATGGTGGGTCTTGACGCCGCGGGAAAGACAACCATCCTTTGGAAGCTGAAGCTGAACGAGGTGCAGCAGACTGTCCCGACGCTGGGCTTTAATGTGCAGACGGTGGAGTACAAAAATATAAAGTTCCATCTCTGGGACGTAGGTGGTCAAAAGCTTCTGCGTTCTCTTTGGAAGCACTACTACGAGGGGGCAAACGCAATCATTTTTGTCATTGACAGCAACGACAGGGATCGGGTCTGGGAGGCACGACAGGAACTGGAGAAGCTTTTGCAGGAGCCACTACTGGTGGGAGCGACTGTCCTCGTGCTGTGCAATAAACAGGATCTGCCGCACCGTCTGACCCCAGCGGAGCTGGTGGAGCAGTTGGGCTTCCGCGACCATAGCACGACCGGACTGGGGGCAGCGATGCGTGGCCGTCAGTGGTTTGTTCAGGGTTGCTGCGCGCACACGGGTGACGGGCTTTTTGAGGGGCTTGACTGGCTGTCTAGTCACCTGCCCGATGTTTCTTGAGGAACGGGGGGAGGAGGCGGAGCTAGAATAGAAGTGTTCGTGTTTGCGTGTGCGGAGGGTTTTGATGAGCTTGTTGGCCGTCAATTGCTGGCGGTGTTGGCTTTTCTGAGTAACTGTGAAACGTCTGCTTCAATCTTTTTAGTTGTTTCTTCTTCCTTCAACTTTGCAAGGCGAGGGAGGGGAAGGATTTGAAAGTGGAGAGATTTTTTTTGTTAATTTACAACGGCGGTGTGCGTGTGTGGCGCGCTGCGTGCTGCTGTTGCTTGTATGCGGTGATTCTTTCTTTTTTTTTTTTGGCTATTTCACGCAGTGACCGAAGCAAGGGAAAGCCGTCTTTATTATCGACGATGGAGACGCATGCCGTTTCGGAGAAGAAAGCAACCAACCCGATGCGGGAGATCGTTGTGAAGAAACTCTGCCTCAACATTTGTGTTGGCGAGTCGGGCGATCGTCTCACTCGCGCCTCGAAGGTGTTGGAGCAGCTGTGCGAGCAGACCCCGGTACTCTCTCGCGCCCGCCTGACGGTGCGGACGTTTGGCATCCGCCGTAACGAGAAGATTGCTGTACACTGCACCGTCCGCGGCAAGAAGGCCGAGGAGCTCCTTGAGAAGGGCCTCAAGGTGAAGGAATTTGAGCTGAAGAGCTACAACTTCTCCGACACGGGCTCCTTCGGCTTTGGCATCAGCGAGCACATTGACCTTGGCATCAAGTACGACCCCTCCACCGGCATTTACGGCATGGACTTTTACGTCGTGCTTGGCCGCCGTGGCGAACGCGTGGCGCACCGCAGGCGCAAGACGAGCCGTGTGGGGTGCCCCCACCGTGTGAGGAAGGAAGAGGCAATGCATTGGTTTGAGAGGACATACGATGGCATCATCTTCCAGGCCAAGAAGAAGAAGGTGATGACTCGCCGCCGTCGTCGTTAAAAAGGGGTGGAGCGAATGATCCTTTTGTAGGGCCTTTTTTGCTGGGTCACGCCATGTTTTTCGTGATTTTTTATTATTTGTATGAAC